CAAGAAAATCGGAAATGGGTTTAAGAACGGTGGCTAACAGCGTTAAACTGTCCGTATATGCGTGCCAGTCTAACGTGATCCCCACAAAATGTACCAGGCACTTCTGGTAGCGGCTTGGATCCTAACTGCGTGAAAATTCCACAGAAGCCTCGCAGTCTGACTGTCAGTCAGCCCGTTTTCCAAGAGATCTCGGTGAGAAACAAGTTATCTCGTCAGTCGACAACCTTAAAAGACACGGCTGTAGCATGTTGTATAAATTCAAGCGCGTCAGATTTACAGCTTTGTGAGTAATGCGCTCATGCACTGTGAGGATGCATTACCCGGTGCCGCTTTCAGGCTCCCTTTTCGATTGTGCCAACTCCCTTGTTAGATGGTAATGAGATTGAGCGCGACGAATGACAGAGCTAGACAGCCCGTGGTTAGAATACTTGTCGGACTATCAGTGTAGAGCGTAACCCAATGTAAAATGTAACAATGCTGGAAAAGAGCAAAGACTGAAAGGTATGTAAAATATTACGGAAAATAGTTACACCCTGAGTCTTGTCATACACGAGGATAAAGTTCTACCAGTGTTGCCAGTGCATTCGAGGTCTAGGGATATTCAAGGTAAATGGAGGCGAGAATGTTAAAGGTCACAAATAGTCAGGGACCGCCACAAGCCCGTCTGCGCGTGCCACGCACGATCGGGCCACCTACTTGTCCACTTGTGTACACGAAGAACCTATTCATCACGTACGTGAGAGGTGCATGTTCTGGCTTGTGAAATTGCGTTAATCCTACGTTTTCTGTTGCGAGTTGTGGCGGGTGGAGTGGCGATGGGGCGCGCGGATAGGGTGGCGTTTCGTAAAGGTTCTGGAGCCCCGTATTTTATCGCGGATGTGCATGGAGGCGCTTATAGTGGAAGATGTTCATGCGACAACCGAATGTTCTTGAGCAGTGCTACCTACGAAGCTGGGTGCAATATATGTATTTGGGGGCTCCTGATACTGGCTCGCCCGTTTCAGTTTGATGGGTTGGCATGTTCAGTTCGGTTCAGTGGTAAGGATTCCTCGTGGAGTCTTCGAAAGGTCCTTATGTATTGTAACCGCTAACTTACAAATTTTAAGCAATTTGTACCTACAATCTTCCAGTTTTCTGTATGCCAGCCGTCGATCCATCAGGGATTGGATGATGGCGTTGAACTGCAGAGGGGTCCTCAGAAAGTCGCCCCGTCCGAGATTTGAGTACGCGCCCCAACTGACCCTCGGTACTTTTTTTATTTTACAGGATTATTGCGATCTAATTTGTTCCCTGACATGCCCCGTCCGTCCTCTCCCCTAAAATCAGGAGCCCATAAGTCCGAGGGCGCGCTTAGCGCTCGCCCAGTCGGTCCCACGAGGTACTCCTACCGGCTCAGTTCATTTGAGAGAAGTGTCGGCGTGTACCTTTGAACTATCTATTCGTTTGCACGCACGTTGTAGTACAGTTTACCATCAAATACAAGCAAGTGTGACATATTTGTCCAGATAAATGAAACGAAATAGCAGCAAAAATCTTAGCGCGAACGAGCCAACTAGTGCAATTTTTACTTCGGGAATAGTATCTCAGCTTATTGGCAATGCCAAATGACATGACCGAGCGACGTGGAACAAAAGCAAAAGGTGCGAGCAGGGATAAAACTCCTTGAGCAATTTCCGTAAACTATGGGAGATGAATGGAAGTTGTTGTTTTTAGGAATAAACATGGTCGCTCATGAGAGGAGGATATACATGAGATATATCCGCCATACCGATGAGGTTGTGTGAAGGTTCAAAACGCTCATGTAACAACAGGGGCCAACTTTCACCACTATATAACCGAACGATGAGCTGCAGAAGCGACCGTCAGTTATCCCATCTCGGGCATCATCAGTACGCTCGGGTCGAAACAGTAAGGATACCGTAGATATCACGAAAATCATTACCGCAGTACGAAAGAAGCGGCCAGATACTCCCTTGCCGATGACAGTATTCACCGACAAGGTGGCAAAAACAGAATTATCTGCCACGATCTTCGATGGTCCCTTGCGGGTAGCACAAGGGGCCGCGTAGACTACGGCTGGCGGTATCGTTGCCGTTCGCAGAAGATCAAATAGGAAATGTCACGAAAACATTTGCATCAGTATGATAATGAGAAAGCGCAGGCGATGGATTGTGCACAGTAACATATTCTATGAACAAGTATTACTGAAATATAGCAGTAATACAATAATAATATTAATAATCATAGTTGTATGGGCGTTGGGAATATATCGATCGATTGGTGCTCAGCTGAGCCAAAGCTAAGTGGTCAATCAAATTCGTGGGTCAAACTCTTAGTTAGAATGGGGAAACTGATATAATCTTTTACAGAATTATGAATGTCAATGCTGTCCATCTAGTTTACGTCGAAGGTTAGGCTGAAGAG